ATTATTGTGTGGGTATTTTGTTATGATCCTTTAATTATAAGCAGGAACGTGCATATTTTAGTTGCTAATTAATGATGTGTGAAGCTGGATTTATTTGGTCTGTGTGTTGGGAGTGATGTGAGGTTGCCTAAAAATCGAAGCTGGATAGTATGCCTAAACACGTGCCCATTAATGTCTTCCCAGCTCTTCAACATTTCAACATCAATCCACCTTCTTCATTATTGTCCTCTTCCTTCCAAATTGAAAAGAGTGCGATAACAAACCATTTCTTAGAAGAGCGTATAAACTTTTACTTAGCACACACATTTCAAAATTGCCAAGTTGGTGGCGGTACGTAATAAGTAAAGGCAAATAATATTTGCTAGAAGTGAGCCTGAGATGTTACAACAAGTCTCTAACCATAAATTAGAAGCTTTTAATTTAATCTATATGTCTCATGGCACTAAAATGAGTACGGTCAACAGTTCAAGACTCTTTTATTTTTAATTGAAAAATAAAAGTTTTGGAAAGGTCGAATATTTTAAATATCTAGTAAATGACCTTAGCGTTGCAGTTAGAAAATACATATGCATGCAATATATCATTTATATACCTTAGCGTTCAAGACTCTTTTTTTATTATGATGTTTTCTAATAGAGGATGGTTTTTTCATATAATTGTTATATTTAGAAATTTTGATTAGGATGTTTAATTAACATACTTTTCTAATTAGTTTATATTGAATTAAGACATTTTCCTAATTGATTGAAAAATGAAATTAAGATATTTGATTTTTTCCTAGGATTCGGTACCATTTCTAATAAGTTTATATTTTTCATTTATTTAAATATAATTATTATAAGTGGAAACAAATTTAAATTAGTTTCTAATTTTGAATTTAGTTTATCTTTATTTGTTTTATTAAAATTTAGGACAATCTTCCGAGTTTATTTTAAAGAATTTAAAATAATATAATTTCAAGTTTGTCCATAAATAAATTAATTTTTAATATATATATATATATAAATATATATATAAATATATATATATATATATATATATATATATATATATATATATATATATATATATATATATATATATATATATTTATATATATATTTATATATATATATATATTAAAAATTAATTTATTTATGGACAAACTTGAAATTATATTATTTTAAATTCTTTAAAATAAACTCGGAAGATTGTCCTAAATTTTAATAAAACAAATAAAGATAAACTAAATTCAAAATTAGAAACTAATTTAAATTTGTTTCCACTTATAATAATTATATTTAAATAAATGAAAAATATAAACTTATTAGAAATGGTACCGAATCCTAGGAAAAAATCAAATATCTTAATTTCATTTTTCAATCAATTAGGAAAATGTCTTAATTCAATATAAACTAATTAGAAAAGTATGTTAATTAAACATCCTAATCAAAATTTCTAAATATAACAATTATATGAAAAAACCATCCTCTATTAGAAAACATCATAATAAAAAAAGAGTCTTGAACGCTAAGGTATATAAATGATATATTGCATGCATATGTATTTTCTAACTGCAACGCTAAGGTCATTTACTAGATATTTAAAATATTCGACCTTTCCAAAACTTTTATTTTTCAATTAAAAATAAAAGAGTCTTGAACTGTTGACCGTACTCATTTTAGTGCCATGAGACATATAGATTAAATTAAAAGCTTCTAATTTATGGTTAGAGACTTGTTGTAACATCTCAGGCTCACTTCTAGCAAATATTATTTGCCTTTACTTATTACGTACCGCCACCAACTTGGCAATTTTGAAATGTGTGTGCTAAGTAAAAGTTTATACGCTCTTCTAAGAAATGGTTTGTTATCGCACTCTTTTCAATTTGGAAGGAAGAGGACAATAATGAAGAAGGTGGATTGATGTTGAAATGTTGAAGAGCTGGGAAGACATTAATGGGCACGTGTTTAGGCATACTATCCAGCTTCGATTTTTAGGCAACCTCACATCACTCCCAACACACAGACCAAATAAATCCAGCTTCACACATCATTAATTAGCAACTAAAATATGCACGTTCCTGCTTATAATTAAAGGATCATAACAAAATACCCACACAATAATTTGAGTGATATACATATTATAGGGTTGATAGCAACTTCCTCCACATGCTTGCCTTGATGCAACCTCCGACACCCCCAGGCTCCACTTCATAATGTGAAATAAACCCAATAACTGTATCCAAATTGTTAGCTTGTGAAAGTAGGGATTATGGAGCATAGAAAGTAGAATGATAAAAAGGATGATGATTAATGTGTGGATGAATACTAAAGTAAAGAGGAAACTCCAATTTCCATAAATAAACCACTAAGTATGTGCATGCCTGACATTGTGCTGAAACCCCACGCCAAAAATGGATCCTGTTTTCCATTCTGGGATTTAGTTTTTTGTATTCTTTTATTTTACTTCGCGGAACACAATGTTAATTACACTCTGCCTTCCCTTACACCATCTTCCATCGGGACTTTATACTTCAACCTTTCTCTCCCAAATTCATTTCAGGGGTAGATTCATGTAACATATCAACCGGATTTCTCTATCCAAAATGCTTCCAAATATGACGTCTACTAGTTGGATTGAATTGTAACTCTATTTTCTAGTTCGTCGGTTCGATCAGACCAAAAAAAATATAACTCCGCAAACGACCCACAATTTTTCGAATAAAAAATGTTATTGAAATCAATTTTTATGATTTTTGGTTCTATGAAAATATTGAAATAGAAGATTAGAACTCAATTATGAAATTAAGAAATCAAATATTAAAATGAAGAAAATGTGTCATTATTGAATTAATGATTTAATGAATTAAATAAAAATTAGTGGAATAAAATCTCCTCCAAATCAACCCAACCCCTATTGAGTTCCCCAGAACATGATAAACGATACTATCCAATATCATTGAATTCAATTAATAAAATTCTTAGACATTAAATCTCAATGAACGACAACCGTTGAAATTTTATAATAGTTTATTTAATAAACCACTAAAATCATTCTAATTTCGCTGCTTCCACGTAAGCCTTCAATTTTGTCTCTCATATCAAGATAGAGAAACAAAGTATTTTAAGAACCAAAACACTATAGTTTCTCTAATACTAACCTTTAACCCGTGTTTTGTTAAGGGTGCTTAACAAACTCGCTACTAAGCATCATTTCACATATCATCTTACAAATCATTAAGTTAATCATCATACTTACATAGACATGCATGTAAGTTTAATCACTTAACATAGTTCTCTTCCCATAAAAGAAGATGATTTTTAGGAGAATTATTATACTCACGCAGAATCAACCTTTAATTCAAATTATAGAGGAGAAATTTATTTTTTTTAAAATTAAATCGTTTTACACAACTCACTATAAATCTGTTCAAATGGGATTCACTAATTGAGGTCTCCTCCATCATCAACTTTTTCACGATTCTCATAAAACTAGAACCATTTAAAAAGGGAATAATTAAAAGTGAGTGATATGAAAATTGAGTAAACATTTAAAGTTGTAATTTAAAAAATTGACGTTTTGTGAATCCATTATTGAAATGAAATAATAGCAAAAGTTTGAATTAAAATGAAAACAAAAAATATAATCTCCTTCACAAATAGATGGCAAAGAAATAGTGTTTTTATAAGTTAAAAGTTGTTTTTAAAAATAAAAAAAAATAAAATAAAGAAAATTAAAAACATATAATTAGAGGATATAAAAGGAAAAAAAAAAAAAAAAAAAAAAGGTGGAGTGGCATGTGGTCAGATGAGGAGTGTTGGGAGACCAGCCACGTGTTGTCATCCCAAAGGCCAACCACCTTTTATTTTATTATTTTAATATTGAAATTTTCTCTGTTTCCTTCCTTTCCCTTATCCAACCACCGGTTGGCAGCGAACCTCAGAACAATTTGCTGTCCAGATTTTGGGACCTTAAGCCCTCAAATATTTTACTAAAAGAGAAAGGAAAAGAAACAAAAGAAGTGAAAAGACTATGGGGCCCCTCCTCCTGATTCCCTTCCCCCACAATAAAATGTCCTCGTTCTTCCCCTTTTCCATTTACAAAAATTCAAAACTAAATTTTCAAATTAAAATTAAAATTAAAATTAAAATCAAAATTGCCTGCACCTTCCTACCGACATTCAAATCCATTTTCAAATTTTATTTCCCTTTTTTCTTTATTTAAATCAAAATGTACAAGTTATTAACTGCTTTTTTTTCAAATAAAATTATTTAAATCAAATTAATACTATCACCTAAACCACACAAAATTATTCAATATTTATTTTTGTTCTACCCCCTATGCTTTTACCAAAATAATATATCCATATTCTACCCATCCCCAACCTTAACTTTCAATAATCATTTCATAAAGGTTTTGTGTCCAAAAAAATATTACTTAATTAGGATTTTAATTAATTTGTGTTACTAAAAATTTATTTTCAACAATTACTAATTTGTTAATGTTACATCCTTTTTTGAATATAAATTAAAAGTTTACATAATTTTGTAAATAATTATTTGTGTGGAGATAAGTGTTGAAACATCTATTTCTAAATAAACTAAAAAAAATCTAAAATCAAAGACTATTTTAATAATTTGGGTTAATAAAATAAAAGAACTAATAAATTGATTAATTTTAGGTCCTAACCCTATTCTTATAGTATTTTGGTGTAATTTTAAACATAGTTATGCTGTTGTTTTTAAAATTTAAAAACCTAGAGAATCTTGTTTAAAATATAAGAAACTAATACAAGTATTGAAGATGTAAATTAAGAAAAAGTGGTCTAAATCCCCGCATAATTAATGTACAGTTGCAGAGGCATTTCAGCAATCAAGGCTTTGGAATACCAAAATATAATAATTTTGGAACATCACACCCCCACCCCAACTGTCTGTGTGTGGAAATCATCACTATCCATTGGCTTTAAACTGTGCGCCACGCATTTTTATTTCATTAAATCGCTGCCTACTTAAACCCCCTCCCCACCCCCTCGTTTCCTCACAACACTCCCAAAATGGCCTCCAATCTCCACCTTCCCCTCCTCTTTCTCCTCTCTATGGCTTATTCCTCTCTGGGTGCCGTCCCAAAAAAGCCCATGGACGTCCCATTCGGTCGAAACTACGTCCCCACTTGGGCTTTCGACCACATCAAGTACAACAATGGCGGCGCCCAGGTCGACCTCGTCCTCGACAAATACACCGGCACTGGCTTCCAGTCCAAGGGCTCCTACTTGTTCGGCCATTTCAGCATGAGCATGAAGCTCGTCGGAGGCGACTCTGCCGGAGTCGTCACTGCTTTCTATGTAAGCAACACCCAAATCAAATCTAATTAATTAACCAACACACTAACATCCCATTCAACATGGGTTTCCTTTTTACTCGCAGCTCTCTTCCCAAAACTCAGAACACGACGAAATCGATTTCGAGTTTTTGGGGAACAGAACAGGGCAGCCTCCGATTCTTCAAACCAACGTCTTCACCGGCGGGAAAGGCGACAGAGAGCAGAGGATTTACCTCTGGTTCGACCCATCCAAGGACTACCACACCTACTCTGTCCTCTGGAACTTGTACATGATAGTGTGAGTGTTCCTGTTTGAATCTGTTGTGTGTGTGTGTGTTGTTTTTCACCGGATCTGGAAATTAACGAAATGGGGGAAATGGGACAGGTTCTTTGTGGACGATGTGCCAATCAGGGTGTTCAAGAACAGCAAAGACCTAGGCGTGAAGTTCCCATTCGACCAGCCAATGAAGATATACTCGAGCCTATGGAACGCGGACGACTGGGCAACCAGGGGGGGATTGGAGAAGACGGACTGGTCCAAGGCACCATTCGTGGCGTCGTACAAGGGGTTCCACGTGGACGGGTGCGAGTCGTCGGTTCAGGCCAAGTTTTGCGCGACGCAAGGGAAACGGTGGTGGGACCAAAAGGAGTTCCAAGACCTGGACGGGCTGCAGTACCGGAGGCTGAACTGGGTGCGCAAGAAGTACACCATTTACAATTACTGCACCGATAGGAAGCGCTACCCAACCCTCCCACCGGAGTGCAAGCGGGACAGAGATATCTAGAAGACCAGTACTGGGTATTAATTATTATTATTATTATTATTATTATTATTACCATTACCAAGTGTTTTCAAATTTCTGGGGGATCCAGCTGCTCCGCTATTATCTTGTATTTCTCATCATTTTTCTTGCATCCTTTTGCTCTATTTTGTCCTCATCTGCCTGCGCCTGCCCCTCTCCCCCCCACAGTCCCTATCGCCTCGTGCTTCCCCCCCCCCTCTTGGAATATGTTTTCCCCTTATTTTTATTTATTTTTATTATTATTATTATTATTATTATTATTATTATTATATCAATAATTATCATCATTTTATATATTTATTACATATTTTCATCAACGCATAATTATTACATATTTGCTTTTAACTTAAATACGTCAGATTTATCATTTAAATTAGTAAAATGAGGAATAATACACTAGATTATGAGTCAGTGGCGGCATATCTCATTGAGCTGTTGCACTGTATTAAAAATAAATGCATTATTATTATGATTAGTTTCAATTATGCCGAGTTATTAAATTTTATTTCTTTCTTCTAATAACTTTTTTGACTTTCAAGATATTTTTAAATCTACTAATTTAGTAGACATAAAGTATTTTTAATAATTTGTTAAAAATAAAATAAAATAAAATAAAAATATGTAGTAGATTTGTTAGATATTTTTTTTAAGGTTGAATAATGGTATGCAAATTGTAATAATAATAATAATAATAATTATTATTATTATGGTGGGCCCCTCGATTATTAGCGGTTTGAATAAGCAGGAAAGGGTGATGACACTCCATTAATTAGGGTTATATCAAAAGTTAGCGCGTTTTAAAAAGTGAAAAAACTAATTTAGTCTCTCCAAAAAGGACAGTAAAGTAATTAATTGATGTAGTTGGAGGAATCAATTTCCAGCATTTCTCTGGGTTATTTATTTGTTTATTTATTTTAATAAAACATAATTTTCAATAAAACTGATCAAATCCTGCACCTCCCCACGTTACTCTTTTAAAATAGGTGGTGAAACATATTATTAATTTAATGGATTTTCTGATTACTTTTTATTTCTTTCCATTATTTTTAATTTGAAATGTAAGAATATAAATTTAAATATTTGAGTCATTATATATGATAATTAATTTGTAGAATAAACTAAAATTCCTTTGGAAATTACTAGCCTACCCTTTACTATTAAATCCATTAATACCAAAGGAAAAGAGGACATGTCATTCGTATGTACTCTTTTTTAATTTGCACACCTCAATGGTCTTTGGGCTATTCAACGTTCTCAAGTGTTGGGACCATTTTAGTGAGTTGTGGACCATTTTAGAGTAGATTAGACCACCTAATATCTTCCAAAGATAATCTGGTACCATACCACTTCAGACTTTGCACAACCTCAATGTTCCAACATCAACACAAAATGTTTGCTGGATCCCTTGCCCCCTCTATCTTCTCCAAACACATCACCATCTTCCACTAACTTCTTAGTGATAGTATTGCCTTCTGTGTTTTGAATGATAGACCAGGATCCTCGCCAACTGCATGACGCTCTAACTATCTATCTGAAGAATCTTCTTACCCTACTTCTTGCCTAATTCTTCTAGATAGTCTATCATCCATATCATCTCCTTTCCAGCTTCAGCTAATGCCACGTATTCTGTCTCAGCAGATGAAAGAGCACTGCATTTCTGAAACCTAGACATCCCGTGATCCGTAGCTTGCTCCCACTTGGTTGTATTCTCCAACTGTAGGGCCTCATCAAGGGGCTTTCATTCCCCTTCATCAATCACCATCCGATAGTGTAAAGAAAGTACATACCTATCTGGTACTCTAATGGCTCTGGATGATCTTTTCAACACCCGCTCAAGTGTCACTTGCTTTGCGTCTGGTTCCTCAGCAAGAGTCTCAAGAGTTTCTTGAGTATCTGCTACAACATCACTAGATGAATCTTTCAGCAAGTCAACCTCAACTCCCACTTACTTCACCTTTGGTTCCTCAGCAACAGTCTTAGGAGTTTCTTGAGTATCCGCTACAACATCACTAGGTAAATCTTTCAGCAACTCAACCTCAACTCCCACTTGCTTTGTTTTCTTGGTACTTTTCTTCAATTTTCTAACAGTCTTTGTGAAGCTAACTCGTTTCTGTTTGCTCATAATGCAGTTCTCATAAGGACTCATATGAGCAGATTTCAGACGTTCCAAAACTCCTACCGGCATCTTCATTCCTTTAACGCTCATATGTCCAAGTCTATTATGCCATAGACTTGAATTTGAAGCACTCTCAGCAACAACAACCATGTCCATACACCCTGCAGTGGTATACAAAGTTCCAGATTTTGTGCCACGTACTATCACCATAGCACCTTTCACAATCTTCCACGAACTCTTCTCAAACTTTGTCGCATAACCTGTGTTATCCAACTGATCAATAGAGATTAGGTTCTTCTTGAGCCTAGGAATATATCTGAGATTCTTTAATGTCCACTGATTTCCTGTCGGAGTATTTATGCAGACATCACATTTTCCTTCGATCTTCAAATCTTTGTTGTCAAGATACACCTTCTCGAAAATTCCAGACTTGAAATTTCTAAACATCTCTTTATTTGGAGACGAATGAAAAGATGCACTTAAATCCAAAATCCAGGATTTAAACGGATTGTCCATGCTGAGGATTAGAGCATTCCCAATGTCTTTTGCTGAATGTATCGAATCATCATCATCTTTTGATTTGTGATTATGCTTCCTCTTTGTACAATCGGATCGAAAGTGACATTTTTCTCCACAACTCCAACACTTACCGTTTGGTTTGTTTGGAGATTTTCATCGGTTTCTTGATTTTGATCGCCCGTTGTTTGGGCCCTTTGATTTACTTCTTCCCCTTCGATCAACATTGAGAGCATTGCTTGATGAATTTCCGATTTTCCGTTTGCAAATACTTTCGCTAAGAACTACATCTCGAATTTCATCGAACTTCAGTTTATCAGATCCTCATGAACTACTGATCACGGCAACAACAATATCTCACAACTCGGGTAAAGATGACATCAAAATCAATGCCTTAATTTCATCTTCGAAATTAATATCCACCGAACTCATTTGCTTGTAATCATATTGAATTCTTTATATGACCAACAACAAGATCCACCTTCAGACATTTGTAGATTAAACAACCTTCGCATTAAATACACCTTATTCATAGCCGACAGTTTCTCGTACATATTCGAAAACGCCTTCAACAAATTTGACGTTGTCTTCTCCTTGATAATATTGAACGTCACATTTTTGGACAGCGTCAATCGGATTAACCCTAAGGCATGACGATCCTTCCACTGCTCTGTGGTTATAGTATCCGGCTTCACCCCAACAGGGGTTCGTGAAGAACTTTTTGATATTGATAATCTTCAATCTGTATCTTTCAGAAACTGAAATTGGATCCATCAAACTTTTCAATTCCAATCTTTGAAATTCTATCTTCACAGATCGTGGTGAATTTCGTCTCCCTCTGATACCAGTTGTTAGCTCTGATACCAATTGTTAGGATCGCTCAACAACGCACACACTCGATCAAGATGAACACAAAGAACAGGAGAGAGAAAATACAAGGAAGAATATTGGCTAAAGGTTTTATATTGATGACGAGTATGTACAACAAAGAGAGAATATAGAGAATGAAGAGAATGGCAGAAGTGCGTATATATATGGTTTCAATTTACTAAATATAGCTTCCAAAAATTTAACCCCAATATAATCTAACAAATATATCTCTATCAAATCTTTACCAAATATCTACCATATATATCTCTATTAGATCTTTACGAGATATCTTCCAAATATATGTCTACCGATTTAGGCATCAAACTCCATATCCCAACAAAGATAACATTAGGTTGCAAATTGTTGGAGTTACTCAGGTAATCACTAATGTTTTCCATATACGTAAGTTGAAAAATGACTTATTAAGTGTTGGACAATTACAAGAAAAAGGTGTATCTATTTTGATACAGCATGGAGCATGCAGAATCTATCATACCAAGAAGGGGTTTATTATGCAAACAACAATGTCTGTGCAAACAAGATATTCCTATTACTTGCAAGAATCATGCCACAAACCATGCTTCCAAACAATTCTAGAAAACAACACTCACCTTTGGTAGATATAGGTATCAAGGTTCCAAGGGTTGAGAACATTGCAACATAAGCCAAAGGCGAGAGAGTTACCCAATTGAAGGTATCATCTAAAATATGCACTGATTGCATGGTGGGAAAGCAACATAGGGATGCATTTATAAAGAGAAGTTTATGGAGAGCTAACACATAGGCTGCAATTGGTACATGCAGAAATCTATGGACCCATCAAACCTCTTTTTCATACTAAGAGGAGATATTTCATAAGTTTTAATGATGATTATTGCTGTAAGATGTGGATATATTTTCTTGCTAAGCCTTTATTATCTTCAAGAATTATAAAACTTTTGTTGTGAAAGAGACTGGAGATTCTATTCGTGTCTGTACATATATAGGGATGGAGAGTTCTCCTCTCACGAATTCAATATATTTGCAAAACTAATGGTATCAATAAACAACTTAGTACAGTCTACACTCCCCAATAAAATGGTGTAGCAGAGCGCAAGAACTGAACAATCATGAACATGGTTAGAAGTATAGTATTAGAGAAACAAGTTCCAAATAAATCCTAGCTAGAAGAATTTAATTGAATAATGCACGTGCTCAACAAAAGTCCTATAGTGGTTGTGAAAGACATGACTCCTAAGGAGGCTTGGAGTGACATAAAACCTAATGTTGATTATTTTCGAGTTTTTGGATGCATTGGACATGTTCATGTATGAGACAGTAAGAGAAAAAAGTTAGATGATAAAATTTTTTAGTGTGTGCTACTAGAGATGATCAAGTGTCCAAGAAAATAGTTGTATGCAGAGATGTACTTTTTGAAGAAAACAAGTGTTGTGCAATGGATTTGGAGAAAGAATCAATCGAATGAAATGAGACTGGGAAGTAGACAAATTTTCTTAAAAGAATGAATAAGATTGGAGTAAAGTGAGTTTTCAAAACTAAACTCAACGAAAATTGCGAAGTTGACATGTATAAGGTTAGGTTGGTGGCAAAAAAGTATGCACAACAACATGGTATAGACTATATTGAGGTGTTTATAACTGTGGCTAAGTGAGATACTATTCGAATGATAATTGCTTTTGCAACGCGCAATACTTGGAGCATGTACCAGCTTGACGTGAAATACT